AAAAAAAAAAAAGGATGGAGATACCTGGCATTTCTGGATTTATTTTCACAAGCTAGACTTTCTTTAAAAGCTTTAGGGGGAAGGGGGGAACCACCCTGCTCCAGTCCTCAGCATAACCACATCAGAGAAAACCTTAGGGAACAAAAGAAAAAAAGAGAGGTCCTTTATGTTTGATCAGGTTAAACTTCCTTTAAAGTAATCGTTCTATACTCACCTATAATATAAAGTTTCCCAATTGTGTCAAAAAGCTCTAATTTATGGCTTAAGTGAAAATATATAAATTAAGCTTCCTCAAATTAAAAAGTATTTTATCTTCAGTAGGATTTTTCTGCTTCTATTTTTTTTTTTTTTGGTTTAATTTTGGTACAAAGGATATCATACTTAAAAGGAACAACAACATAAAAGGTCAGAGGCAAAAGAGGCTGGTCACCTAGGAAAGGACAGAAAGATGGTGCTCACTCCCAGCCTCTTCTTAACCTATTTTCTGTTTGTACAGGTCTGGGCTGAGTGAGTAGTGATTACCTAACCCTGGAGAGGCACCTAAAGGATGATGAAAGTGATTGAAAAAAGGAAGTTCAAGTGGGTAGTGAAGTCGTAGTAGCCATCAGAATGAGGAGAGAGGGTGCAGTGAACCACTTACCAGGCAACTATGTATGCAATTCAGACAAGAATTTTTCTAGAAGCCCCAAACCTGTGTTCTGGTTGATCCAGGTTAGCTCAGCTCCAGCACAGTAATACTAGAAGAGTTCCTGCTGCATAGAGTTCCTCCAGCATAGAGATACCAGGATACCTGTAAACCTGAGATTCTATCCTCATCTACCCTCTCATTGTTACCTCATTTTATAATTGTTAACTAGAGACCCATATTCGGGCCAGTTCAACATTATTGCAGAGTCCCTGAGCAGTCAGTCTCTCCTTCCCCAGGGCCACATGGAGAGGATCAAAAGGAATTATTTCTATGCATCAAATAAATAAGTGAATAAACCCATGGAAACTCCCTCCACTGGGCATGTGGTGCCTGACTGTAGCCACAGCTACTTATGAGGCTAAGTCAGGAGGATCCCTTGAGCCTGCAAGTTGAGGTCAGTCTAGGTAACATAGTGAGACCCTGCCTTTAAAAAAAAAAAAAAA